AAATTGTGAAAAAAAAATTATATATATACATATTACGGGCCAAAGCCGCAAAACAATCCACTAAGAAGACAAAAAGGAATTACATAAGTGTTTTCTCAATTATCTGGTGAATCAACGCCCGAATTGAACCGACCCCAATGTGCTTCTTCCACCAACGTCTTCACCTTGGAATTGTCTTGCCTAACGTTGAACCCATAACGTTGATGTCGAATGCACGACGATGACCCACTCTAGAATCCACCAAAGCTTCAAGCCTGAATTTCCCGAAATCCACCGAAGAACAATTCTTTCTTTTGTATTGAATGAAACAAACAATCCTTTGATGTATACTTCTTAAACCATGAGTTAAACTCAAGCAAACATCAAAGAAACTATCAAAAAAAGCTCCAGATGAAAACCTTAATACCCAAAAAGAAAATTTGGAAGTCGTCTCTAGAAACAGATTGAATCGCATATTAATAGAAAACAGAATTGCGATCTCCGCTCAAGAGCAAGAATGGCCACTTGAGCGAAGTGACTAAAACGCGTGTTTCAGAACACATATCTACGCTAGAGCACAGGAAAGGCCGCTCGAGCAGAAAAATACAACTCCCAGTACTTTTGCAGGCGAGTGAAATTTCTAAAAGGTCACGATCTCCGCTCGAGCCGAAAAATAACCTCGATCCCCAACATAGTCAACGAAGTGGCAAACATGACAGGATTAAACTCACAAACTCCTCTACATAGGCACAATTCGGGTTGGATTTGCATATAAAAACTCATAGCCTCACTGAAATAAAAGAACGAATAAAATTACAACTGAAAGAAGTTTTGTCAAACGAGATTGTCAAGAACAAAAACCTAACAGATGTTTACTGAATTTCTCTCTACCTCATTTTTCTATAATTTACTTAATTTTCTCTTTTTATATTCTTATAGTTCATCCTCAAATTCAAACTTGATTATTATTTTTTTTTTTATCTTTATCTTATATTTACAGAATCTACTCTCGCTCTTGATTTTCAATTGAGTTTATTCATTTTTTGAAGATTTATCTAATTTTCTCTTTCTATATTCATCTTCAAATTTAAACTTTATTTTATGTTATTTTTATCTTATATTTATAGAATTTCACTCTTCCTCTTCCTTTCCTTATTTGGAGAATGTAACAAGTCCTCTCTATAAAGAGGTTAGTGATCATTGTAACAATATAATAAAGACAACAAGAAAGAAAAAGAAGAAATTTGAATATATAGAGTTTTTATTAAGGTATTTGTGTCTCTTTAGGAGCTATGGTTGTACATCTCTACAAGCATTGTTTTACATATATGAGTGAGTTATGTTTTATTATTATTAATGTCCACCATGGTTGCTAGAGTCCATCAATCTATTAAGAGTTCCTAATTGGAACCGAATTGTCTTAGGTCTTATTTGATTAGCAGGATTAATATTAAAATGATTAATAATCCTATGAATTAGTGTAAAATTAGTTCTCATATAAAGTTAGTGAGGTAACCATTGATTATATATTCATTTTATTTTATTTTTCTTTCATACTTGAAATTATGATCTTCGGCCCCTTTCAATGTTAAAAATTCGCTGATTTTATTGAATTAAATGTCCGTAATACATGTAATTTGATTAATAAAATTTATAATCAAATATAAAATTGTGAATTTATGAATTAATAATTTCAATTCTATTCTATAATCTTACTAATTAAACATACTCTTATAATTTCAATGGAGATGATGGTTGTCAAGGGGGAGGAGAGAGGGGGGTCACCAACGGGGAAAAGGATTTGCCATAGGGAATGGGAACTGGGGGAGAGTGACAAAAGGAGGAGCTACCCGAGGAAGGTTGTAGGAGTGAGGATCCGAAGGATAGAGTTATAGCATCAGCATCAGTATCTTTAAAATAACAAAAAGTTAAAATATAATTAATAAATCATCAAATTCTCCCTCCATCAGTCTCAGTAAATTTTTGTTAAATTAACTTTTTGTTAAATTTGCTACAGTAATTCGTCTGATGAAGCGAGGAACTGTTCATCGCTACAACACGCAGTTTGGGTATAACCGGACGTCCGCCCGGAAGTCCGGCCAGTCAACTGGTCAACGGCAATTTCTTCTTCTTCTTCTTTTTTTTTTTTTTTTTAACAATTTTATCTTTTGTAAAACATAAGAATTGTTTGGTTGATAGGTCATCAATTTAATTATATAAAAAAAAATAACAAATATTTTAATAGGATTGAGTTAAAATAGAGAGTTTGATGCAGTGGATGACTAGCTAAAATAAGAAAATGACTTTTTTAGTTATAATTTGACTCAAAATTTATTGAAGCTGATGCGGATGCTCTTAGAATAATGGTGGGTGCTCGTTAGTCAACTTCCAATATTATTATTTTTTTATAAAAAGATGACTAAAAAAGGCCAAATTTTATATTATTTTTTTTTGTCATTGACCTCTTCCCGATAATAATAATAATAACAACAATACTACATTAATAATTTTAATTCTACATTAAAAACATTACTACTAAAAGGATATGGAGGAAATATCATTTTATTTTCTAAATTTTTATGCATTTTTTAATTTGATATTCAGATTTCGCTTAATATTAATTTTACATTTAAACTTTTGAAATTTTAATTAATTTGATCCCTACCATCACATTCTGTCTATAATTAGACGAAATGTACTGATGTGGCACTAAAGTTCATTTGAAATTTTATTTTACCCTTCAAATGATACCTTAAAAATAAATTTGCCCCAAATTAAAAATAAATTTGCCCCTACATCAACATATTTTGTCTAATTATTAACGGAATGTGACGACGGAAATTAAATTGATCAAAATTTAAAAAATTTAGATGTAAAATTAATATTAATCAAAATTTAACAATTAAATTTTTAAAAAAACGTAAAAATTTAATGGACGAAATGATTGTCGATGGGGTCCACACTGAAATCAGAATCAAACAAAATCTTGAGGAAAACTTTCCTGGTTTCACAATATCATTTTTTTTTTTCATTGAATATTTATCATGACCAAGTTTGACTTCGTTAATTGCTCCTTTTTTTTTTTTTTTTTTTGAAAAGTAGCAGCACTGAACTTCAACATTCTAATATTTCCGAATTTCATAACATGGCCCGTTTGATGCATTCTATCACCACTACTTCTCATTTGTTTCGTCAATTGTTTCTTCCTTGTTTCTTCATGTTTTTTCATCGGTCATTTTGATACATCAAGTGTGTGGAAAAGGAAACCAAAATAGATAAAAGTGTGTGAAAGGAAGATTTAGGCAATTCGTATACAAGAATATAAGTTAAGGTTTAATTGAAGCATCAAGTGTGTAGAATGAAAAATAAATCAATAACCAAATTTATAAATGTG